CGAGCCTGGATGCTCAGGAGTGTGTTGGGTGGGGGCGCCGAGTGGGGAAGACTGCAGATGCAGCTCTGCACCAGTGGGAGTGGGGTGGGCAGGGGCTGGACCCCAGGCATTTGTTTCCCCCACTCACAACTCTGCCGGCAGGCACAGGGCTCCTCAGCCCGTATTGGGCTGCACTGAGGGCCCTGGGTCCTGGAGATGTCCCCAGGAGCCGCTGAGCCTCAGGGTGTTTGTGGGCCAGGCCCTGAGTGGGCAGACAGGCTGATTCCCACAGCACCAGCTCCCAAGGGGCAGCCCCAGAGCGCCTGCAAATAAGTGGACCCCAGGGGCAGGACCCTAAGGAGGAGGCTTGGGCAAATATTTTAAGGTTTCAAGGTGCTATCAGTGGGGCAGAGGGCGGGGCAGCTGTTCACAGAGCACCTCGTTCCTCACCAGCTGCCCCGGCCGTATATCCCACACTAGAGATGTGTGTCTGTGTCCGTCTCTGCTCCCTGAAGGCAGCACCAGGCCTCACCCACTCCTAAGCCTGGCCACAACCCGCTCCTCGGCTGGTGTCCAGCATCCTTGTCCCTCCTGGGCCTCTGTGCTGGTGGGTGGGGCGAGGAGCCTGCATGATCAGGCCCTGGGGTTGGGGGTACTGGGGGAGCCCCAGCCTGTGCCCAACGCTTATCCCCACAAGGCCAGCACTAATAGGACATCCTTTTTTTTGTTGTCATTTAACGTCTTTATTCCTGCCTTTAAATGAGGAGGAAGGTTCCATAAGCTACATGTTTCCTAGTTAAGCTCTTTCCTGTTGTGTTTATACAGTTTTGTTTGTTATACTCTTTGCACCTTAAAACCCCATGACCACCCCAACACAACCACCTTCCCAGCATGGCTGGAGTGGGAAGAGGCCTGAGCCCAGGGGGGCAGTGAGGGGGACTGGCCCCATCAGCCCAAGAGCTGAGGGAGTCAGAAACCCCTCTGACCTCCTTGTGAGGCCCAGGGCGCTGGGGCAGGGACTGGGGACATTTTAATCATCAATAAACGAAGCACTTTATTCTGTACAGATGTGGGCAGGCCCAAGGAGCCCGAGTGATTTGAGGATTTAGAACCCAAGCCACACCGCCCAGATTGTTCTCTGGGCTCAGAGCGGGCAGTACCCTGAGTTTCGGGGCTGCAGGAGGAACAGTGCAAGCCAGAGCCTACGAACACACCGTCAGGTGCCCCTGCTGTCCCCTGGGGAGAAAAAGTGGGCCCCTCCCCAAGAGAGGAAAGCTCCCTGCCTGGCCCTCAGCTCTGCGGCTCCTTCACCCCAAGGCTGGGGGTTCCAGCCACTTACAGGGTCAGGGCTGTGCCTCTCAGGCTCCTGCTTTACTGTCACTCTTCCCTTGTCCTGCACCCTTGATCTCTGGGCTTCCATGGCGTCCTCAGGGTCCCCTCTCCCTGCTGCCCCCTCCCCCTTGCTATTTCTAACCTCCAGTCCCAGTGCCTGGCAGCTCCTCAGAGCTGGCCCACATTTTCATCTCCCCAGATGGGCTATAGGCTGGGACTCCCATGGATTTCCCACCCCGTTGCTGACACCAGGGTCTTCCACAAGGGCTGGTGGCCCTGTCACATGCTAGCCTCACTGCAGCCTCAGTGAGCCTGGGGGGCCCTCGCCAGGCTGGGCCTCTGGTCCATGAGGTCAGACTTCGACAAGCAGGAGCTGGAGACATGTACGGGGGAGCTGGTGCGAGACCTTGTCCCAGGACTTGGGTTTCCTGTTCTTACAGTTCCCTTCTGAGGGCATCAGAGGGGTCCAGACATCAGGCTGGGTACTGGTCCAATGGTCACTGTAGCTGCAGATGGGCATGGCCAACCCCTCTCCTGGGAGGCCTCTGTCCCAGTGGGGACAGGAGCCCTGTGTCCCTGGTGCTAAATGCTTTCTTCCCCTTGGATGGGTGTTGGTGGGAACTCCTTTCTGGCCAGACCACAAGGGTCTGAAGCAATAACGGAACCTCAGCAATGCCAGTATGGATAGTGGGTTCTCATTTTACCAGCTTTTACATTTCCTTTTTATCTTTTAAAACAAATTAACAAGCACCTGGATATCAGAGTGAGGGGAATGGGGCATCACTTAACCAGGGCTGGTGGTGGGGATCATCACCTCCCACTGGAGCTCTGCCAGGGGCGTCCCTCTGTCCAGCTGGACTTCTCGATCCATTTGGCCAAGACCTCAAGTCCATACCCTGGGCCTGTCCCCTCCCCAGCTCCCCTTGCACTCCCTGGCCTTGTGCCAGCTCGGGGTGAGTGGCCAGAGCGATGAGGTGGGCCTCAAGCCCCATGACCACAGTTCATGACCAGCCCCTGGGGCTGAGGGCACAGAGCCTGAGCCTCTGACCCTGCTGCCACGGCCGTCACAGCATCCCTTGCAGGAGGCTCAGTGGTACAGAACCGTGGTGCCCAGGCATGTGGACCCTTGATGTTTGGTCCTATGTGGCCACCCCACAGCCATAGAGCGCATGGGGACAGCAGGAGGGTGAGAAGAAGAGTGAAGGGGAATAAAGGCAGTACCACTGTCCATGGCCCAGCTTCTTCTTTACCCGGTGCCGCCCTATTGGCTGAAAAGACCAGAGCAACAGCAGTGACCCGACAACTCAGCCACAGACCACACAGACACCTGTGCCCCTAGCGTCTGCAGACCCTACCTCCCTCCTTCCCTTGAGGATGAGCTGGGCTCCTGGGGAACATCCAGAGCCGGGAGCTGAGGCAAGAGCAGGGGTGCACCCCGCCCCAAATGTGCTGGGTCCTGGGCCAGGTGCAGAAGGGGCTTGAGACAGGTTGAAGCACCAAAAGTTGTGCACACCAGAGGCCAGGGCCCTGGGACAGCAGGGACTAGGCCCTCCCATTCCCATGCTCAGCACTGGGGATGCTGTGATGCGCAGTAAGGACTCACCCTTCCCTCGGCAGGCAGCAGGGGGTAGGTCTGAAGGAGCCCAATGTCAGCACCTGGAAGGATGTCTCAGGTGGAAGACAGGGAGTGGTCTCGGAGACGGGGGCAGGCGGCTCTCCCTGGAGACCTCTGAGGATTATTCCACTGGAGCGCTGGCTCTGTGCCGGATGGAACTCTGGGTGAAGGAGGCCCCTGTGCCCTGTGTATGTGGCACTTGGTCCCAGATACCTGGAGAGGAGGCTGATGGGTAGGTTCACTAACTGGCCAGAAAGAAAGTGCAGGCCACCAAGATGTGGACGTGACTTTGCCTTCCACACAGTCATACTTCTCTGAAGGGAACAGGGGCACACTCAGGTAACCCTAAAAATGAAGCTCGACGACAGGCCTGTGGGCATGGCTGCTTGGGGTGGGAGGCAGGTTCTGCTTCTGTGTTTCCACTCTCATCCCCATCTGTCTGCCCTGCCTCACCACACATTCCCTTCTCTTCAGCCTCACCACACTGCCCTCATTCTCCAGTGTTCCCATCCTCACCTTCCAGATTCTTGGGCACCTGTCACATCCGGACAGGAGGCAGAGGCCGCTGGGTGGCTGGAGGCTGTGGCTGGCGGGCACCATGGCTGACATCTCTGAGGCACTCACTCTCCCTGAGTCTTGCTCTTTGGGACCAAGCAGCTCACTAACACTCACGCCCTGGGGCCTGGGTCAGAGCAGGGGCAGCCTGCAGAGAAAGCTGGGCTTTCTTTTCCTCAAAAGCACAGTAGGTGTCAGTGAGATAAGGAAAGGATGCAGCCCTGGCTCAGCAGTGCCCTTGGGGCTGCCCCCCAATTATGGGGCTTTCTAGAGCCATGACTGGTGAACAAGTCAGTGTAAGCTGTGTTCTGCTCCTGTAACAAACCACCTCTAAACCTCGGTGGCTCCACTCTCCATGTGGTGGCTCCGAATTGCAGGCTGCTCTGACCTTCTGGCATTTCTGTATTGACACAGATTTTCTCACTGATGTAGCTCTTGTGTGTTGGCAACACTTTACAATCCCTCCTCAGCCCACAATCTTTGTGGTGGCTGAGGACCTGAGGAAACAGAGGCTCAGAGAGGTCAAGTAATTTGTACATGGCCAGAAAGTATGGGAGTCAGGATTCAAACCCAGGTCTGTCTGGTTCCCAAGCCACTGAACAATGCCACCTCCGCACATTCAACTCCTCTGTGTCCCTTCCATTCAGCAGAGTTGGGCACTCGGTGGTGTCCAGGAGAGCATGGCAGTGGATGGTGAACCAGGGCTACTGGTTACAAACAACAGACCCTCCTCGAGTTAACTGAAGCAGAAGATACTTTAATGGGATGACTCAGCTGGGAACAAACCCAAATCTCCCTGCAGGACTTGCCCCAGGGGAGGTTTGGCTGCCAC